TTTTTTTTTTTTTTTTTTTTTTTTTTTTTTTTTTTTTTTTTTTTTTTTTTTTTTTTTTTCTTCTTGTCCTCGACTATCCTCGTCCTCATAACCTCTGGTCCTCACGTCGCATCGCTCGTTTCGGTGCTCTTTCGCTGTTGAGGTCCGGTCGCGTCCCTCCTTCCTTTCTCGAGCGGTAGTCCCGTCCTACCCACGACCCCGCTTCTTCTCGTGGTTACATGTTGGCCCTCAACAAAGCTCGCCCACCTCCTCTTTTTCCATTACCGAAAAGTTTAGGTTGTTTAATGCCGCTATAACGCGTCTCATCCCCCCGTGTGAATTCCAGTCAACCCTTTCTCCGTTAGGACCCAGGATCTATCCCTTGAGGGTCCTATAACACCGCCCTCCTAAGATGTCATGGTTAAGCTTCGGGCAAAGCCTAACGAAGTGTTCCATCAAGGCGCAATATCGACATTATTCCTTCGAAGGATCTCTCTGACCGGTTCGGCGCTCTGGTCTTGGAGCTAGGGCTTCTTGGGGCACCAACGGAGTTCGAGATACGCGGGTTTGCACCACCCGAAGGGTATCCACTATCCTTTCCTTCTAGTTGTCCGCCCCTTCGCCTTGATCGTGCAACTCCTTCGACCCCCTTTTCACTCCGTACCCAGTTGTTTCTAGGACCTCAGACTTTTCATAGTTTCGCTGGCGACTTTCTATCTTGACACCCCTTTCTTGGTCGAGATAGACTGTCAGTTTCTCCCTTAGGTCCAAGAGGTCACTATAGTCTTCGTTTGACAAGGATTGTCCCCCTGTCTGCTGACTCATTCCACAGTCCGCTTCTTGCTCCTTTATTTCCTTTGTGGTCCCTACCTCGGAGGGTCGAACCCTCCCTTTTTCTCCCGCGTTTCCGCCCTTTCCCCAACCACCGGGTTTCCCAATCATGCGCTCTTGTCGCGTCTCACCCAGACATTCATCATTATACAGCTCATTGTCATTCTCAACCTCGATGTTCCTGATCATTTTTTCAATTACACCAGCGTTGTAAGTTGCTACCATCTGTTCCACTTCCTTGAGTCTTCGTAGGGTATCCGCTACCTTCCTTTTCTTCGTCACTCCTCCCACCGAGGTCTGTGACTCTTCCGTATTTCCGACCACGGTTGGCCTCATTCCCCGAGATTCTGCAGGCCTCCTCCCGGTATGACTCCCTTTTTCCAAAATCCCCCTCGCGTTGCCTTTGACCCCCTCGCTGTTGAACCGTCGGTTGACATTTATGCTATCGTCTTGTTCCCCCGGATTTCGACCATTCATGTTGCCTATCCGGTCACGTTTATTCTTCTGGCCCCTTCGGTTGCTTGCGACGTCCATAACGTAACAGACCTGCATGCCATACAATTGAAGGAAGGAGAACTTGCTTTAGACTCTACCTCCCACAGTTCTCCTATCGCTGTCAGTTCCGGAGATGTTTTCGTCTTCAAATCAGCTTAATCCTTGTCCTCTCGCTTCCTTGTGCACTTTAGGGTTCTTCCTACCCTATATGTTTTCTCGCCCTCTACCTGTCTTACTGTTTCGATGGTCTCTCTTACTCATGTCACAAGGAGGACAGACAAGTAGAACCGCTTATTCCCCCATTTCGGACACCCATGCTTTGCTCGATTCCGGTCGCCCGCTGGTTGATACCTTATCTCAACTTCCTAAGGATTTTTCATCACGCCTTGGCCCCTAAAAGTTACCAAACCCTTCCGGCCCCTCGAATTTCGCCAAGACGCCATCCTGGTGGTTCTTGCAACAAAAGCGCACATGCGAGGCGCCCCCTTTCTATATTTAGCGAATCACTTATATACCGCCGTATATACTATGTCTGCTACACTAGTCCGGCTATCCACCCTAGTCTCGCTCTCGCCTCCTCGGCTGATCCCAAACAATGCCAGCTACCGGCTCGGCTTCTATGGCAGCTATATCCAGCTTATTTAGGATGATGACGGCACGCCGCATTCCTCCTGGCGAATTCCAATTTACGCGCTCTCTCTAGGGTCCGAGAATTTCACCCTTAAGGGACCTACTGCATCTTTGTCTCATGATATCATGGTTGAGTCTTGGGCAAGTCTGCACGAAATGTCCGACCATTGTGCAATACCTGCATTACTCATTGGACGGATCCCTTCTGCCATACCCCCGATTCGCTACTGTCGCCGGAACTACGGCCTCTTGGGGTGGGAGGGCGGGTCCGGACACCTGCGCCTGCATTACTAATAGCGCATAATCCATGCTTTCCATCTTGCTGTCAACCCCGTGCACTCGTTCGTGCAAGCTCTCTATCCCCTTTGTAACCTTATCCCCTGTCTTCCCAGTCAAGTCTATAACCTCCCCTTCTTTAAGCAGGGCTAGCGTATCGGTCACCACTGTCTTTTCTGCGAGGTCTGTTACCGTGCTGAAGTCCACATCCCTAGTGTACTCGAACTTGCTGGTCTGCTGGTAAGCTGACAAAATCTTATCTTTGTCGAACTCGGAGAACTGCCTAAGGAAATACTTGCTCATTATTCGATCCGTTAACCCAGGGATTCGCAGTGCCACCAAAGTTAACGCCCTCAGAAAGTCATTGTAAGTAGCATAATTTTTCCTTTGGACTGCTGCCAATTCAGCCTCTGTCACCATTTTCTCCGCCTTCGAGTACTTTCATATCATCTCGTTCCGAGTTTCCTTCCAAGATCCACTAGAGGAGACGATAGTCATAATGTCCCTTCCTAAGCTCAACGATACGTGCTGCCCTAGGTGGTCCATCTTTTCTTCCTCAGTCCATTTCAGTAAGGCTGCCAGTTTCTCGTAATCTATCAGGAATTCAGTGATGTTTGCCCCATCGAAAGTGAGTTTCTTCTTTGCGTCTGCGAGATACCCCGATTCGTATTCAGCGCCCGGGTGAGGGTGACTACTATCCTTTTAAGTCCTCCTTCAGAGCTACCCGCCTCACCGACCGCACTATTCCCCTCTCCTTCCCTGCCTTCCTTGTGTTTTTCCCCGGTTTTCGGTGTTCCCTCCGGATCAAACCAGCCTAACACCCTCTCTCTGAGACTCCAGAGTCTATCGCATCCCTTCGTTGCTTTGGATGTGGCGGGCAGACGACTAGCGCCGCTGTCGATAGTCGGCGGGGTGGTGGCCTTTTCTGCCTCTATAGCCGGGGACTCCCCCTTTTCCTTCCCCTTCTTGCTGGGTGTTCCCTTACGGCTGTTATCTTTTGCTCCGTACCTGGCTTCGCCCTGACTGGTCGTGCGTCCCTCTCGCGACCCTTCCCCCTAGGGATCCTCTTCATTCCCAACCATCATTTGTTCAAAAAGTCTTGCCTTGTATTCTGGGGTCCGCCTTTCTATTTCTGCCAATTTGCGGCGTGCATCCGAGACTTTTGTTTTCTTGGGCGTGGTTCCTCTGGAGTTCCGAGGACTCCCCTTTTCGTCGTCCCTCCCTTCTCTATTCTCCTGCGGTCCCCTTTTGCTACCCCCAACTTTTCCTGAACTTTCCCCTGTGGAGAGGTCCTTCCCTTCTTCTCTAGTCTCTTCTGGCTTTGCTGATTCCTGATCCGACCCCTCGTTCTGTTCCTCATCCCTATTCGTACCCTGACTCCCTCTATTCTGCTGGTTGTCGTCCTGTTCTTGTGACGCCATTTCTTTACCTAGCCTGCACATGGGAAATTTTTTTGCAAAAAATGGCCGGTTGTTCATGGCTTCCCTAGTTCCAGCCCTAAAACCCGGTTGTTTTCATGCCTTTTTCCGTCTTTCATAAGTCGGGACGACACTCCTCACTTTTCTTTCACAGGACACCATTTAGATTTTCTTCCGTCAGGGGACTTGTTGCCGAGGTCTGGCATTTTGTCGTCGCCCTGCCTCGGCTCTTAGGGCGGTGTCTGAGCCCAGCGGCCTTCCCCTTGAGGATAGCCCTTTCGGCTTTCTGACACCCAAATGCCCTGGTGTTCCTGGTGCGGGTGGTCTTCCTAGTTCCTTCCTGCCGCATCGTCAGGTAGGGCGGAACTCCAACCAGTGCCCCCCCTCTTTTTGCTGATGGCTACTTTCTCATCTTAATACCCATCCTTTAATTTTTCCGTCTTCTCCCTGGCGCCTCTTCTCACGATAGTCCCTCAGGCCTGCCCTGTTCGTCCGGTTCCTCGAACAAGTCAGCCACCCCGGCAAGGTAGTTTTCTCCCATCTCTATTTCCCTAGCGATTATTGGTTCATACTCCTCAAACGCCAAGCGAGGCAACCCGAATATCAAGATTTCAATCAGGTCAAGTAATTCCCAGGCCTGATTACCCCAGAACGGCCCATGCCTGACCGACACATCGTAAAACATCCCCGTTGTCTGTGGCCGGAAGTGGTGAATCCAGACCAGGGTCGAATCCACTAAGTCCCTAGCCCTCTTGAGGCTGCCAAATACCAGGTCCGCCATGAAGCGGGGGACTCGGCACCTCAGCCCTGTCATCGGGGCCTTAAACTCTCGCCAACCTCCTACTTCCACCCGGGTCCTCAATCCCACATTCCTCCTCCCTCGCACTTCCTGGCCTACTCGGTTCAGTACCTTAGTAGCCCTTTGAAAGATTGGTAACAACCCATGTCCTAGCGCCAGCTCCGTTCCTAACATGTGTCACCCGAGCTCTGGCAGGTATACGGTTCCCGTCACCCTGAGGTCAATGTACAGATCGTCCCCTGGTCCCCTATTAATCCTCATACCATCCCACAAACATTCCACCATCATGAACGCCTGGTCCCTCCCCAAGGTCACGGCTCTCCATTCGGTATCGATTCCTCGGACCCTATAGCTTGCCGGGAGCGATACCTCCCATCCGTCTCCGCTTTCCGTGGGTGGTCGGGGGTGCGTGGGTCGTCGCGACATCCGGGCGCGTCTCATCGCCATTGTTGAGTAGCGGTCCCCTGCACAGTTTAAACAACAAGCGAGTTTTGCTTATTCCATCCATTCCCCGACCCTTACCTGGGCAATTCCTCGGTCCTTGGCTTGATGCTTCCTTTCCTCTTCTATCACCTTTCCCGCTTTCCTTGGCTCTTTTACCGGCCTGTTCCTACTTCCGTCGGCTCATATAGCCTGTACAGATCATCCACGTACGTCATCCCCCGACTGATTTCCCATTGGACAACGCCCCACAGAACCCCATTGCTAACAACCGGGGCCCTTGGCCTAGTGGTAAACACAGCGCGCAGGATTCGCAATACCTCATACCTCTGCTCTCCGCTGAACGGCCCCATTTCTAGGAAGGCCCGATAGTACTCTTGATAGACTAACGCGTCTTCATACGTCAAATCGGTGAGGTTTGCTACCGCCTGTCTGACAAGCTCCCGACCGCCTAGTCTTTCCAACAGAAAGGGTGGCAACCTCATTCGAACGTTTTCACTAGGCAGTTCGAAACTCCCGACCATGGCTACCCTAAGGTTCGCCGTTACATCATCGATCTCCGGGTCTGCGAACTCGAACCCTGCCCGCCATACTAACTGCCACGCCCCTTCAAACATTCTCAACGGATCCTCCCCTGATGCCAGCCGGACTCCGAACTCCCGCCACCCATCCTCAGACATATACACTCGTCCTTCCGCCCGCACATGCCCCCGCGGGTCCGGGTTCCACTCCCCATTCTCATCCGCACGCCATTCAACCCTCGTCACTAAGTAAACCATGTTTCCCATAAGCTCCTCCCCGACCCAATCCACCACCGGGTGCCAACCCTCATTTGTGATAGGCAGGCTAATTTCTACCCCGCCAACCGCATCCCTAGGCGGCTCAATGCCCAATAGGCGGTTCTCACGAAATGTCCTTCTTCGCGCCATCTACGCTCTTTATCCTTGGTCTCCTCTCTCACAATCCGCACCGAGACCTACAATGGCCAGACATCCCATCCCCTTATCTTAGCAATTTTCTCATGCTTGCCTAGCCCCGCGGCTTTACCGCTAATTAGTCGAACCACAGCACCTCAAACAGTTTGAACACATCATCCACATAGCACTGTGTCGCTGCTACTTCCCGACGGATTATGGCGTCCCTAATTTCAGGGGCTACTTCCAGCCGGTCATCCCTTTCGATGTTCAAAATGGTAAGGACCTCCCGGGCTCTGCCGCCATGGAAGGGTCCGAATTTCAGAGACGTTTTATAGAATTCTTCTGCCAACCACGCGCAGTCTACGTGTATCCGCTCCATAGTGGTGGCTACTTCCGCGGCGTGATCAAAGCCCCCAAACCAGTCTGCCACGAAATCTGGCACCCAGGTCTTGGTCCGGGCGCAAGGCAGTTTAAACTCCTTTCATCCTCCCATCACGACTCTACTACAAACCACATCCCACCTTTGTTGGCGAACCTCTCTCCTGCCTTTCGAGCCTTTGTCTCGGCGCCCTTCAAAAGTCACATCAGATTTTGTCCTGCCGCAAACGTGGTGCAAAACAGATGCCACCCCTGTTCTGACAAGACGACCGTTCCCACGGACTCTACTCTCCCTTCTCCGATGTCTTCCCATCCTTCCTCTTCCCTCAACGGGCTCCAGACACGTTCTATCCACAGGTATGATAGCTCTGGCACGATCTCATACCCCCACCAATCACATGTGGCCCCCTTCCATTCATTACTTGGCGGTATAGACATTTTTACTCCCCCTCCAGTTCGTTCTGGTTCCCACGTGCAATTAGCTAGAGTCCCCGGGCCATCGCTCCCTACCTGCACATAGTCGACAGCCAGTTCCTGGGTAAGTCCACATCCCTTTCTCAAAAGTCCCACTCCTCTATCTCGTTCCCGTCCTCATCATCACTGAAATCCTCCTCCCCGTCTGCGAACAACTCTTTTAGCCCCTCCAAGAAGGTCTCCCCCGCCGCCACATTCCGATAGACTATCCGCCAATGCACCAGGCTAGGAACAAAGACTTCATCCGCGCTGAGGAGGTTTAATACCTCAGCCAATTCTTCCGCCCAGTTTCCTTCAAACGGCCCTGCTTCCACTGATAGTCTAAAGAAATCCTGTCTAGCACATTGGTACAGCCTCAGGCGCGTCATCGATCGGCATATCCGTTCCAACCTATCCCTGGTCCCAAAGACTGCATCCACCAGAAATGGGGGTAGCACGCATCTCATCGTCCTAAGGGGGCGTCTCATTTTTTTCCGGTCTCCGAGTTCCAATCGCACCTCCATCTTTTCCATCTCCATTTCTGCCCACTGACATGCCGCCCATACCACTTCCAGTTCCGCTTGCTTAAGCAACTGATCTGGTGTCGTGCCCAATACTAGTCCCACTACAATTACATTTTCTATTTCCTGAGATACGTGGACCCCTTATCGAGCTTCCACCGTTCCCCGGAATTCTAGGTCCATCAGGCTGGGTGAAAGTCTTGTCAGGCTGACCTTAGTCCAGATTGTCTCTATCCAGAGGAATGCGTCCTTCTCGTCCAGCATCACAGTTTCATAAGCTGGCTTTAGGTCCGTCCACGTTCCTTCCTCCGGGAGGACGACAGATACCCCTTCCCTTACATCTATGGGCATTTCCGGACCGCTAGAGTAGACAGGGGGCGACAACGATCGCGCCATCTTGTTTTTTCGACGCCTATCCTGTTTCCACATGAGAGCACCACACGGCCCCTCATGGTCAGATCGCCTCCCGTCTAGATGAGAATTATTTTCAAACCCCTCCTCTGGGTCTCCTCAGCATTTCCTACCTATGTCCCAGATGTCGTTACCCCATCATACCCTCGATCAGTCACCCTCAGCCGACATTCCTTTTTCTTGGTTCTATTTCCTTCCGACTCCTATCCAGCCTTTATCAGCATGTTCTCTCACTCGTGCGGACTTAGATTTGGGGGTGAGAATAGACTTAGAAGCTCAGTCCCCTTCCAACATTCATCAGGCAACTTTACAGAGGGAGGCACAAAAGGCAAAATTCAGGCAATCGTCGCGCACAGGTCGGTCATCTCCTCACCGACCTTCTCCCCATAAATGCTCTCTCCACTGTAACTATCGGCAAAGTTTTATCCCATACCTCAAGCGCAGCTCAACCGTCGCGAGTGCGGTACCTAGACTCCAGTGGGGGGTCGGCCTCACCTTCTTGCCCATAACACCCCATCCCGACTTGCCGCTCGTGTACCCACACACGAACCCACGGCAGTCCACAAAAGGGAGCGACGTTTGGCAACCCGCACCGGCCGGTGCAGACCCATCCTTTCCTTTCAAATGGCAGGACACTCGAATCCCCGTCATGCATTCACAAGTCCCAAGTGGGACACACATTAAACAAGTGCCTTTCCCGTGGTGCTCCCAGCGCTTCCTACCCAAAACTCACAAGTTTTCTCTCAGGACAGTGTGTGCCGCTCGCCCCTAACTTCCATACATAGTGCCCGGTTCCTTTTCGTGAGCATCTTCAAAGGTGAGCTAGTTTTCCCTTGAAGTCTAGCAACTCCCTTCATTCCCCTTATCTTCACTTCATGTGTCCGTTCATAGGGCAGGATTGTTCCTTCTCGATTACCTTTTGTGTTCATATGAGGTTCCTTCAAACATTTAAGTGCGGTGCATGGAGCCCGCTGGGCTCCAAAGAAGAGGAGAAAGCACCCGTGTCAGTCGTATCGCTCCGCTGCGGGATTTTCATTGGAACCCGGACTGGCCCGGAATCCCAACCACCTGCAAGGTAACCGGAGCCCTTCTTTCACACGAAGAGGAAGGGTCGACCTGCCTTGCCCAAGGCTTCCCCGGTCTGACGAACATCAGCCCGAGAGAAGGAGGACTAGAGTCACCTCCAAAGGAGATGGCTGATTGTGTGTGCAGCATGCATGTTATACCTCCAGGCCTGGCCTTGCCATGCGCCCAGCCGCCCTCAAATCTGCTTCACTCATGGGGATAGAGCATACACAAGTCCATATTCCTTATCTTCAGTTATGTACATGGTCATGCGTCGGGCCCCCCCCTCGAGATCGTCAGGGTCAGTTTAACCCATACCCGCCACCTCCACCATTTTTGTAGGGGCCGTACCCTGAAGGACTTTCGAGGCTGAGTCGACCCCACTGCGGGTCCCATTTGGCTCAACCCGCCCACGCTCACGCTCAGGGCGCGGGTCATTCCTCCCAGGGGCATCCCCACCTACTGCTTTGAGATGGATGGGGATGGGCCTTTTGCGATAGAGCTTTACATTGGGGGGTGTAGTTCCGCTCTCGTGTCAAGATGGTAGCTCTTTGGTCACTCGTGGCGTTTTCTTGATTCAATTAAGTCTGACCAGGCAATTGCTCCTTCCAATACACAAGCAGTCCAGGGAGTTTATTGAAGATCTGTCTTCTTATCATGCGTAGGCGAAGCGTCATCCATTGGACCATGCACCTTTTCACTAAGTTTAGTGGCTCGAGACAGCCCCTACGGCATCCTTGGGGTGGAGTGGCATCGCCCGGATCCCTAGCCGCTATATTTTTTTTGCTTGAGCCACTAGCGTTGCATTCACCTATCCAAGACTGCCTTCAGTGCTTCCGGGCGTACACTGCGTTGAAGAGAGCTATTGCATTCAATCATCACACAAGCCACATCCAGGCATCTACCATTCATCCAAGCATCCATCCATCAAACCCGTTTCACATTCATGGTTTAGGTTAGGTCTAAGTCCTTCCCTTGTCCAATTTCCCACCCTAGCCCTCGTCTGCGGATCCAGTCCAGATCAAGTCATCTCAAGCTACTCACCTGCACAACACCACACAAAGCATGGACCAAATACAGTCCCCAATGGAGTCAACACATTGCCCCTCCCACAAGCCTAAGTTTCCTTTGCATTTGGTGATCCTTTGGTTATGTTTCCCTTCATTCAAGCAAGCCACGCCTTTTACTTA